TTTCTGCCTCTACTGGTAACCGGGCTTCACATCCGTAAGTTAACACGAAAGGGGTCTCTCCAGTTGCTCTTCTTGAAGTCACTCTATGAGCCCAGACCGTGTGAGGCAAAGCTTCCAACCACTTGTTTCCTTCCTCACCCAGCCTCTTTTTTAGACCGTCCACAATTGTTCGGTTAGCGTTTTCGACTTGGCCATTTCCCTGTGGGTATGCTACCGAGGCCCTGCTGTGCTTGACCCCGAAGCTAGCAAGGTATGCAGTGAACCGGGGATTGCGAAACTGGGGTCCGTTGTCGGTGACAATGAATTTAGGGGCACCAAACCGGGTGATAATGTTTTTCCAAACAAATTTCTCGCACTGCCGTACGGTTATGGTGGCCATCGCCTCAGCCTCAATCCATTTGGTGAAGTAATTAATAGCCACCATCACGAACTTCTTCCCGCCTTGAGCAACCGGGAAGGCTCCAATAATGTCAATCCCCCACCGGGCAAACGGTATGACATTAGAGGTTGGTTGGTAATAAGTGGCCGGTCTTCCCGGCTGTTTGTAAAAAACCTGGCACGTCCTACATCTCTGGACATACCTCTCACAGTCCCCCACAATGGTCGGCCAATAGTAGCCTAGCAGGATGATCCTTTGAGCCAAAGTGCGGGACATTTGATGGGCTGCACAAACTCCCTCATGTACTTCGGCAATTACGCGTTCAGCCTCCGGGTTGGTGAGGCAACGCAAGAGTGGTCCGCCAATGGCACGTTTGTTAGATGACCATCGATTACCTGGAAACGTGGAGCCCGTAGGACCACCTTCCTGGCTCGTTCCTCGTCATCAGGCTTCTGACCGGTCTCCAAATACACCATGAGTTCGTATCTCCAGTCATCGTCTGCTCCAATTATCCCGGTGGCTGAAGTCTGGCCCGGTTGGATGGCCGCGACTTCAAACCGGTCTGTACTCGGTACGTCCAGTATCTCAATTTTCGCCAATTTTGACACATGCTCTGGGCAAGCTTGCGTCAATTTTGAAAGCATGTCTGCATCAGCGTTTTCCGACCGGGGTATCCTAGTCAGACGAAACTCTTCTAATTCCCTTAGAAGCGCTCGGACCAGATCACTATACCGGGCCAGGCGATCCTCTTTTACCTCCATCTCACCATTGA